CGCTATGAGAAATGTATCAGCCTTGGAGGAGATTATGTTGAGAAATAAAAAAAAAAAATTTTTAAAAACCTTGTTTTTCTTGGTCAGGCCGGAAACTTATCAATCCACCCTCATAAGTTATTTATGAAAAAATCGTTAATTAGTAAAGTCTACGTGATTTGTATAAATGTATGCGGATATATAACGATTGGACTGATGCAATATTGATTTGTACGTGATAGAAGACATGTGTTGGTGTACTATTTTATGTCCCAACATTCGTGGTGTACGCAACAATGATTGATATCTCAAAGTCGATTTAAAAATAAATGAAAAAAATAGTCTTCGCGATTGAAATAGGCTGTCTAATATAGGAAGGATGATGGCGAAATCGTAAGTAGGTAAATATCACGAAAGGTTTTTCTTTTTTAATCAATTTAAACGACCAAACCGACGGAAAAGTAAATAGTAGCAGATCGTTTCAAGAAAACTCCTGAAAAATCTGTTGATATGGAAGTTTTGTTTACAAAAGAACGAACCATTTCCTTTTTCTTGTACATATTTTATGATCAGCAACGAATTGAATATTCACTGTATGTTCTACGTGACTTCTTACTCGGATTTCTCCAATAATTCTTACATAATATTTGTTAGCTTCAAATTCTTGAAAGAAATTGGATGAAATCTTTTGTTGTAATATATTTAACCGTCACGATACTAAGAATTTCTTTCAGTTCTCATCATCATCATAAGGTCGTCAGTTGTAAGACTGGTTGGACACGCACCTCCACTCTTTCCTATCCTGAGCTAATCTTCGCATTTCCTTAAAACTAGAACAACCCTCATCATTAACTATTTGCGAACAGTAATCTAATCTAGGTCTACCTCTACCTCTCCTAACTTCCGTTTCTGCCTCTAGTATGTCTCTGACCAGACTTTCATGCCTGAGAAGGTCTCCTACCAACCTATCTCAACTATTTTTTATTGACTTCCATAGTCCTCTGTTCTCCTATTCTTTCTAATACCTCTTCATTTCTAACCTTTTCTACCCACGATATTCTCATCATCCGCCTATAACATCACATTTCGAACGCTTCTAACCTTTTCTTTTCCGCCGCGTCCACCGTCCATGTTTCGCACCCGTACAGCGCCGTGCTCCAAACATACACCTTTAACAACGTTTTTCGAATTTCTAAGATAAATTTTATGTTGTATGATATAAAAACGCGACAGAGTGTCGTAAAATGAAATACGTTTTAACGAAAATGCATTTTTGAGAAATGGAAGAAAATAATTTATAATTTATCCTTTTTAAATTTGGACTCACGAAATTACGCTCATTATAATAGTTGGAGCTAATTTAAATTTAGTTGATGTAAGCGCGACAGGGTCCCATATAAAAAGACATATATTTGGCGAAAATATGTTTTTCCAAAATCGAAGGAAATGGTTCATAGTTTCGGCCCCTTTAAACCAATTTTCAAATCTTGATACGCACAGTACCTACCATAAATATATCCAAGATTTATTGCCACAATAACTGCCGAATATCAATTTTTGAGGCTAATAGATATTCGTTTCTACATGTGACGGTTTAGTAAGTTCACGGTAGGTACGCGATGGTTTAGTACAATTAATATGCTGTTCACACTATCGAGCGTGTACTACATTTATTAAAAAGCATGCTCAACAAATTAAATTAGATAAAGATATATTGTTCAAACCGTGCATTAGGGTAACTGTGACGTATGAACTTTAAAATAATAATAATTAATGATAATGTGGTTTCTAAATGAAATTAAAAATTAAAATTGAAAATCGTCCTAGAAAATGTTTATAATGTAATGGTATATTCTCATAGGTAGGCAGACACTGCACTAACGTTGTTCAGAATCCGTAAAATGTATTCAGAAGGAACACGGATTTTCTTCGCGGAACGTGTTGAATTTTCATTAGAACAACATCGTGTGCTCCAATCGATTTGCATCGGGAACGAACAAAATTGGAGTGAAATTACGACACTATTTATTGCAATTTTCTTGGCTATCTGTGCAGTAATTGTAACACCCGATAAAATTTATAGTTCCGGTTAAATCAATTTGACTTGCAGCAACGGTACAATAAATTAATGAAAATAGGAATTATTCCGGCACATACAGATACACACTTATATGCAAAACGTACCTGGAACTGTTGGTGGCGAAAGGTATTCAGGAAATGTTTGTGCACGTGATTGTAGCATTCGAAAAAGCCAATCGTTCCGAGTGAAGCTGAAATTAAAAAACAAAGAATTTAGTTTCATATAGGAACAGTCGATTATTATTGTTTATTTTAGGTGAGTATTATTGTATATGTTACTGGAAAAGTGTGAAATCTAGGAATTGTATACAATTCCTAGAAAATGTATACAATCCCTAGAAAATGTATACAATTCCTAGAAAATGCATATAATTCCGAGGCTATTTAGGAAATTTATAACTTTACTTGGAAAATGTATACATTTCCTAGGAATTGTATTAAATTCCGATATTGTACTAGGAAATGTATAAAACTAATGCTTTCTGTGAATAAAATATTCTAACATATCAGCCAGCCTCTGGCGGGAAAGGGCGTTAGATAAACTCCAATCTGTCATAAATATACCTAACCAAACAATGACGTCACCAATGCATATACATCTCCAAGCAGCCTGCCGTATTATTGTTCCATAACTATGCTTCATTATCATTTCCGCACAAAATATATGTATATCAAAGTGATCAGCATATTCACAATATACAACATACTGTAATGTTCGTGGGTTTAACAAATTAAACTTTTAAGACTCACAACGACAAAAACCTTTTATTTATTTACACTAATTATTATTGAACTTAAAAACACTATTAAATTATAACTAACTTAGGTGATAAATTACTTTACTTATTTACAGTGCTGTTACTAAATCACTATTCACTGCGCTGTCAATTTATTTCTTGATTCACTTCTGTAACGGTCAATTTATTTCTCTACTCTCGGCGATCGTTTCTTCCTTTATATACTCTTTTGTGTCCTTTCTGGAACTTTCTCGAGCCGCCCGGAAAAGTTTCTTCGAACTGTTTAATTGCTTTTCCGGAACGCAGGTACGACACACACGTTTACAGATACGGCGCACATGAAGAAAGCCGCCCGCGGCTAGTCGGCGAATCGATAAGCCGCTCACACACACGTATGCCCGATCGCACACAAACACGCTCGTACTCGCTACAATACTAAAAATTCATATGCATTGGTGATGTCATTGTTTAGTTAGATAGATTTATGACAGATTGGAATTTATCTAACGCTCTTGCCCGCCGGAGGCGAGCTGATATGTTAGAGTATTTTATTCACAGACAGCATTACTTTTATACATTTCCTAGTACAATATCGGAACTTCATACAATTCCTAGGAAAAGTATACATTTCCCAGGATATGTGTGTATTAAAAAATCATTGAAACAATATTCTATACATTTCCTGAATAACCTCGGACTTTCATACATTTCCGGTAACATACGTATGTATTATGTATACATATATACATTTAGGCAAATTTCGATTAAATAATAATAAAACATTAGGTTCAGTTCCCTCTTTTAATCTTATCAGACGTTCTTACAGTCAGCTTATTTTAGAATGGCGAACCATTACAGAAGATAGTTGCGCCGATTTCCATTACAAACGTATGTACCTACACACATTACATTATTATTATGTATTTTCGTGCGTAATTGCTGACCTCAGTTTCTTCTTCTGATTGAACAGTTNGTGTTAATATTAATTTTTATTTTTTTCTATAATTTTAATGTACTTTTAGCACCCGATATCTGCAAATTGACCGTCGGCCCAAGTTAGCAAGTATGTATACGTTCAAAATACAGTACTCTTTTTTACCCATTTTGTTACTCAGAAAACAAGTAATGTTTGACGGTTCTGTTAGCAACAGCTTTTCTATAAAGCTTTCCATTGATTTTTAGAATCGACCGCGGGATCTTGGACTCAAGCCTAGCGCTCCTTACTTCTCCAATTGAATTCCGGCTTTGTATAAAACATTTTCCCCGATCGATTTAAACCCCACTGAGACAATAAAAAAACCGGCGATTTTAGCAAAAATAAAAGTTGGCGTAATGATTCCAAACAAAATTTTTAGCATATCTTATTTGAGGCTGATGCCGGCTAATTTGAGTAATAAAGAGAACTCGTTTGCGGAAACATCTTAGTGCCCGTTTTCATCGCGAGAAAAAGGGAAGGAATTGAGGAAATTTGCGAAAAGGCGCGGAGATGGAAGTATTCTAACTAATAGAGACAATTAAACGGAGTAAGTGCTTCATTCGAGGGTACACTTGAAGTGGAAACCCTTAACAGACAGTTTGGCAAACAATCGAAGGAATAATGGGCAAGAAGAGTTATCAACTAACTTGGTTACCTACTCTTTCGTAAAATGAAACGGTTACGTGTGCTTGAATGAATAAAAAAATCTAATTATAAATGCATATGTTAAGTTCTGATGCCGAATTTAGACGATGGCAAAATAAATTATTAGATCAAGACTTCGATCTACTTAAGGTGTTTTACTTAAGATGTCAAAAGTCAGGGCAAGTTATTTAACTAACTGCAACTTAACCTTCAAGAGGTTTCTGATCTTACTTAAGCTTCCCTCTATCTGATTATTTAGCTCTGAACAGTCTCTGATAATTTTCTTCAGCTTCCATCCGAATTCAGCATGTGTTCCTGACATACATCTTACAGTAACAATATTATAAAAAGTTCATAGTAATCAATAATCGGTTGAAGGTTTTGTCTTGTTTGGTTACGTGTCAACCACAAAAACATTCGTTAAGAAGAAAAAACTGTACTTTTAGTTCTAGTGGTACATCACGATTAATATTGTAATATCATTTTTTTTTAATAATAAAATGTTTTTATCATATCTGCTATTAAATTCACAATTACATTGTGATTTATTACACACTGGCAATAATACCTATAAACTGATATATTAATATGAAACTTCATATTGGAATAATGGATAAGTTCAATATTTAAATTACGTAAAATAAAAATATGTGAGCACTCGATTAGTTGGAAATCCAGAGAAAATATATATTTCAAATGAAATCAACACCAATTTCATGGTATTTCTGTCAACATTTTTCAAACCTTTTATTTACACTACACTTTAATGAGGTTTGATTTAAAAAGCACTCACGAACTTTCATTTATTAGTACATTATTTAATCCAACAGGCAGATTTCCATACATCATTAAAGCGATAGTAGCTGCAATAGTGTATTCTAGCACAAAATATGATACAACGTAATAAAATAAATTATCAAAATATTAATAATTCTTAAATACACACAATACAGAATTTTTTATTCAACTGTAGCTCAAGTGGCTTCTAGTTTGAAAATGGCAGAGAAATCAGCGGGGTGACTGAAGATGACCACCTGCCTCACCACCCTGCCTCACTTGCTTCTTATGATCTGAATATATATAGATACGATTTGACGCACTACAACAGAGTTGTAGGTGTAGTTTACATTTTAGTATAGGGCCTTTTCAAGAATACAAAGGATTGAATAGTTATTACGCCAAAGTGTTCTTAACATCTCATATGACTTTATAGAAGTATATAATATGCATAATAAGTTATTCCAACCGTAATTAGTGTCATTAATGGACGCATAGTCGAGACAGGTCCAAACATAACAAAACAAGTACCTAATCCAAGCTTGAGACAAATAGAATCCTATTTCAATCACGCCTGGAATAGATTAGTCCGAAATCAAAATAGATTATCTCACTTTTCACGATTGACTACTAAGTTTGGTCATTCCTAGGATTCAGACAAAGGTCAAGACTAAACTTAGGTAAGGCGTTGGTCAAATTTAGGATGGTATTTCGCGATAGGCGCAAATACTAGTCCTTGACCTTAATGGGTACTTTGTACTGTATCCAACAAAATTATTGTAAAAAGGACAAATATTCAAATTTTAATGATACAAGTGATCGATTTCTTGAAAATGATAATATAATAATTTAATAATTCGTTCTTTCAGTTGAAAAATAACATTGTCAATTAACTGAATAATAAAATTGAATTCGGACTTGATATTAGTCATAGGCAAGGATTGCTTCTTCTTCAATAAGAACACCGATGGAGTCGCTTATCCAACGTTTCGTCAACTCAAGGAACGTAGCGGCTTCCTCAGTACTGAGCGAAACATTTCACACCCTCGATACGTTCCCTAACCACAAAATCAGGTTTTATTCAGATAACACGGCCCGTGAAAACCTCTAACCCCTTAGCTAATTAACCTAATTTACCGCTGGGTGATTTTTATCTACATCCTAGTTATATATGTACTAAATAAAACAGTGAAGCTACTTTATTTTAAACGACGGAGAAGGACACAATATATAAAGGTAAATCTCCGAAGAAGGAGCCTTTAAAAAGAAACGTCACGTTGCCAATATTACGACCGAACGTTACTACTATAATGTAATCATTCAGAAAACGGTCTCTCCTTCCTTCAAATGCGGAGACAGCGTCGTCGTAGTCGTCAGCGTCGCCAGCGTCGGTTCCGCCGAAATGCAAAATTTATATATTTATATCGGCAAAATTCGGATTATATTTGCAGGTTACGATACCCTCCAGCTATCCTACACCTGCTTCCGAGAGATTAGGGGCGCCGTATACTGCATGTTTGAAATGGAAAATCGATAATTTAAATTACACCTGCAGATGCAAAGATATAAATGTAATTCACGTACGCCACTCGCAGTCGGTGCCGAGCCATATTGCACTCGGTTTGTTCACTCGCTTCTAAATGAATGTAATTCGTAAAAGTAATGACTCTAATGTGCGGACCATAAGCACAGTTGCCCTTACCGTTTGCCTACTTACTCAACCCCTGTCCTTTTTTTTTCAGTTTTTATTGTCCGTCCATGTTTTCTTTTTTGTTTTGTTTGATATTTGCAACAACCGTGCATGTAGACACAAGCGTAAACGTATCTAATCCAGAAGTCTACAAGCTTTGTCCCCGCCGCATTATCCTATAAATGTGAAAATCCCGTCAAATATGTAATATTTTCCGCTAGTTTTGTTGGTTCATGAAAATGTGAATCCGTTTTCTGAAAAGCAAAGCAAAGTGCCTCCTTATGTATGTAAAAACTGAAACTAAAACTCGAAATTTCTCGAAACAGACATCGTTATATGTTTTAACTATAACTTAAAGTAATTTG